ACATTTCTTTTTTTAGTACACTGAATATTCATATAAAGATCACTTATAAACATGTTTCATTTTAATATAGGTTAAATATACATTAGAATACATGAAAATTATCCATTTAATAAATATTTATTGAATGCTTAATATGTGCAAACATTATGCAGGGTGGTAGGAATAAAACAGTTTTGCTTCATATATCCCTTCTTCAATTGTAGCATTCTTATTGTGAGAAATCAACCAAGAGTGTATGAATTACTAGCAGTTACAAAATATACTAATAGTTGTGTGTATATATATATATATTTTGTGTGTGTGTGTGTTGTTTTAAATATCACTGAGCTAAAATGTGGCAGACAAAGAAGAAGAAACTGTCTTAAGTGTCTGGATCATGGAGTAAGTTGATAAGAACTCGGAATCTTAACTCCAGATCACAGAGACTGAATTATTTCCTTTCAGGAGGGACTATCAATGCTAAACATGGCCAAGAGACCTCTTCTTAACATTGCAATTTCTCTACAGCTTGAGATTGAATACAGTGAAGTGGCTAAGTGTTTACTAAGCTATCAGATCAACATGGTACAGGCAAATGTGTGAGACACGGAGTCAAATGAACTTGAGTTCTAATATTAACTCCACTTGTAACTGGCAAGCTTCTTGGTTTTCCTGAATATCATCTCTGAAATGAGGATAAGAATGCCTACACAGTGGATTTGGAGAAGATATAGATCAAACATCATGTGCAGAACACCTGACTTCTTCCAGCCTGCAGGGTAGAAATGAGGAAGACAAGCACTGACTACCTCATTGTGTGTGTGTGTGTGTGTGTGTGTGTGTGTGTGTGTGTGTGTGTGTAATGGCCAATTGTGGTAAGGATTAGGATGGTAAAGAACAAGGTGCTATGAGAGAAGAATGGTATGGAGGTCAAAATTTAGTTTGGGGAATCCAAGAAAATAATTTTGAGACAGTAAAATCAAGCTGAGACCTGGATGACAGGTAAAAATCATCCAGGGAAAAATTTAGAAAAATTCTG